CCGCTCTTCAGCTGGAGGCACCCAGTTGACAGCAGGATGACTCACTTGAGATCAGAACCCAGCCCACTGACTCTTCTCAGGAGCTTGTCACAGCGATTCACAGCCAGAGCAGCGTGGCCATCTGACTTAGCATCCCGTTGTTTTTAAAACACTTCTGTTTTGCCAGACTGAAGGCGTGAATCACTTGCCTGTTCTGCTAATTGTACACTGAGCAATCGTGCTTGTTGCTCTCCAGCAGAAGCTTCCTTTCCATGTTGATAAAACCTGAGCTTATGAGCTACTCTTGAGTTTGCAGTGGTTTTGGTCCTTGCCTCCTCCCCAGGCAGCCCGATGGCTGAAGACTGTAGCACTGTTGAGCTAATAAAGCCAGAACTGCCCAGTCCAATGCCATCGGGCTGCCTGGGGTTTTGCTGATTGGCATCCTTGGCAGACCTGTGGCTTGGCTGAAGGGGCCACAGAGTCTCGTGGGGGGTCCTGCAGCTTCCAGCCTGCTGTCCAAACCTCTCCTGTGGGGAAGAGCAGAGAAAGGGAGCCGGGTTTTTCTCCTTGTATCAGCGTCCCTGTAGTTACTGAGCAGGAGTAAGCTATTCCCTTGAAGAGGGTGAGAGCAGGAGCAGAGGCCTGGCTGCAGTGGTAGGAGGTTATGCAGTGTGCGTACCTCCCTTTAATCCTTCTTCTCAGAGAGGAGCAGCCTGCATCTCTCCCCAGAAAGTGCTGGCTTTCCAGGTCCATCTGCAGGCACTGGAACTGGCTGTTAATGTCGCACAATGCTTTCATTTGTGCGTGGCGGGAGATATTTAGAAACTCTAGTCCCTTTGGCTCTCCTGCTTTGTCCAAAAAGCTTATCTGTGATACTTCTGCAGAAATGCACGTATTTTTTGTATCCACTCTACTCAGTGGGATGTGCTGCAGTCTGGGGAGGTGGAGACTTGGGTTTGCATTTCATGTCTGCCTATGCTTTGGGCCTCTGAGCTTTTCATGAGTGTTTTGGGCAGGTATCAGACTACACTTCTGTGTCCTGTTATGCAGCACAGCTTGTGAAAAGTACTTGGCATTGAAAAGTGTAGAGATAGTTTTTGTTTTTTCCACTGTTAATGCTTGCCACTTGCAGGGGAAAAAAAAAAAAGAAAGGGGGGAGGGAACTAAACCAAAGAAGATATGCAGCAAAAAATAACTGACACAGATGCAAGACATGAGTCTAACTCCTGTTCCTGCTG